GAGCCACTCTGCAGCCCCATGCTGTATAAGTTTTCATTGCATATAAGTGCACACCATACCTGGCCTGCTGGGAGTTCTGAGTCATTTGGTCCGTACTCCCATTTCCTGGCTTTTGGAAATTCCTTGTAAGTAGTTTCTTTGTGGTATAAAAACTAAGAGCCCTTCCCTTTCACCTCTCTGTGACCCCTCTCCAGATGCCAGCACACTGTATCGCGCACGTACTGAGTACCAGAGTGAATTCCACAAGTTCCTCAACACCCCTCACCAAGGTAACGATGAGCAAAAAAATGCCTCTGTTCCACAAAACCTTAGGATATGAAAGGTTGTTTTGTTCTTCAGTACATGATACCTACTATGTGGTGGAAAATAATATACTCTTCTTCAATATGTGAATAGCAGACACAGAAATACATCTGCTGCATCCCACTATTAAAACAGGTTTATTTTCATTTGCCAATTGTCACTGCTAATCTGTAACAAATTAAATATGAGATGCTTGTAAGATGTTGCTGTTTGTGTTGGCTAGAAGACAACGATACCTGAATCACGCAAGACATTTATTAGAAGATGATTTCACAATTACATAGTTTAAAAGTCACATGGGATGTGTCTCACATGGGATTTGAACCAGGAAGTCAGGAACTTTACCCCGATGAGGTATATGAGGGTAAACAAACATGAAATATATATAACTCTTTTTTTACATTGTTAATCCAGCAGAAATTATTTGGGTTAACATGCCATTAATGACATTAGATTATCTATTTAACTTTTAATTTTTGTGTTCTGAAAGCAGTGGGCCAGTTCCCCAGAGCCCACCAATGACCAGCCGTGTGTGTGTGTCAAAATACAAACTTTAACACCTTCATTGAACCATTTGTGTGGATAACAGAAGTGTAAGCAGCTGTTTTGCATGTCTTTATCAGGTGCTGATTGAAAGCTGCCTCTAAACCCAATGAATAGGGATGCCACCCTCTTTGCTAGATTACTGTTACAAGGAGAAGGATCTCGGAGTAGTGTGAGGCATGCTGATGATGTCATTGCTGCAGACCGAGCCTGGGCTATAGTGCTAACTCGGGTTCAGTTCACAGGCGAGCCAGCCTGAAGCACTGTCTCCCTGTCTCTCTCCAGAGAAGGACCTTGTGTTTGAGCTGATCCAGGTGGTTGAGAAGGGAAGGGGAATTCTGGAGAAGCACCTGAAGGGGTTCATAGAGACAGGTACAAGCACGCCCACCTGCTAGCTGCCCCTGTGTGCCAACGCATCAGATGAGGACAGCGGTCTCCAACCCTGGTTTCAGAGAGCCCCAGTCCAGCAGGGATTGTAGAGCTCCACTACATCATCAATCTCTAAAGATCTGGAACAATTCTGAATAGGTGTCAATTAAGCAGGTGACTTGATCGTTTTGGACTAAAATTAAATGAACAGATCACATGCTCCATTTATCAGTAACGTCTGGGTGTTGCCAAGCTTTAGAAACAGCTGATCTGCAAGACTAACTGGACCAGGGCTGGAGACACCTGGATTTGACAACTGTGATTTACCACGGTAAACTAAGCACATGGAATAGAGAGATGTGGCAGCACCAGGACTGGTCTTTCACAGCTCTGAAGGGAAAGGATTGTTTTGTCTTTTGCATTGATTTTATTTGTATTTTGTTTTTTTGTTTTTTGTCCTTTTTAGGACTTTGTCCAAACACGTGTGGTGAGTTCCTTTTTCTTGCTCGTCCATGTCCTCCTCTTCCTCCTCCTTGTCCTCTCCTCACCTCCCCTCGACTTTCTCCATCCTCCCACACCTAGCAACCTTACTGATCACAGATCGCTGTGATCCCTCTCTTTACCTGTCCACCCCTCTCCCACTCCCCTTTCTGTCCCGTTGTCTCTCTCCCCCTGTCTCAGGGCTGATGTATCAGAGAGTCATGAACTGTTCCTCCTGTCACCCGGCGGTACGTACCTGTGTGTCTCCCACTGCTGCGGAGAGCTGTGGAGGTGAGATACTGTCCCCTACTGATATTCTCTGTCTCCCCCCAGTCCTGCTAGTCTCTTCCTGTCTCCCCTCATACAGTATCTGTTGAACCGAAAACTCTTCAAGGGGTCTCTCGTGGTCTCTGGGTCCCACAAGCCGTACAGCTTTCTTCACACTTAGTGTAAGACAGGGATCTTCATCTCTGGTCAGTGAGAGCCTTGATCCAGCAGGCGTTATAAGTCACCATTCAGTCAACATTTTCTAAAGACTTCAAAGAATTTCATCATGATCAATTAACCAGGTGACTTGATACATTAAAGTAATTAAAAGACCATTTTAATTAAAACTAAATTTGAGTGCCCTTTAGCTTTAGAAGAACAGTGTTCTCTTAATCGAAAAGACTGTTTGTTAATTCATTATTAGCTTGTAGGTGTTGCCAGTCAGAAGGAACAGCGACCTACAGTATAAGAGCAACTAGACTGGGGTTCTGTAAGGGATTAGGTTGGTGTTGCATGGGAGTGGGAGTGGCAAGTTTACAGGATGGGAGTGGGTGGACAGTGTGGGGGCGGGGCCAGATTGGGGCGTGTCTCGAGAGATGTGTGGACACGCCAGGAACTGCCAATACTCCCAACAGTGGATGAACCAAGAACGTGGGTCATCCTGTGTGACAGTCTGTCTGGTTTCTCTTTATCTTATCCCTCTCTGCCTCTCTGCTCCCCTCGTCCTTTTTGCTCAGAGGATCTCCAGTGCTGACCTGCACGCGGCACTACTGTGTGTTAACAGTCTGTGTGTTATTAGCAGTTCTGTTTCAACAGTTGCCTGATGCCATGCATTTGGTGGCAATGTTACCATCTTGTCAGTCAGTACAGTTATTTCTGTGTGAGCTGACACAGCTGCTTCTGCACATGGGCTTCCTGCTCATTCAGCTGTTTGATTTGTTGAAGGACGTTATTGAGGCTATTTTAGCCTTTTTGCAAACAACTTTTTGAGGCAAAATGTAGGCTGATTGTTATCGACCAAGCTGAATTGAGGAACTCATGTTTACTCCCGGCAGGGTGCAGCTGAAATAGGCCTCACACGTGCTGAAGGATAGATTTCCCGTGTTTGTTCAGAACTGGGGTGTTCCATTTTAGGGGATTACATTTTGGAATGTTCTGAATGTAAAATGTATATATCTTGTTATTCTTGTGTTGCATTGAAATTTGGATAAAAGGGGGTTAGACGTCACCCCTCTCTCTCTCTGACTGCAGTGTACAGAATCCAGGTGCCCGAGGGAGGCCAGGCTGTGCTAAACTGCTTCCTGCCTTGGCACAGCCTCACCATAGGCAAGGCAGAGTACCAGTACTCCTGGGCACCCAACCTGGTGAGAGATGGGCACTGATACACCTGCACTGGAGACACATGGCTCAATATATTCACAATTCAGATACAAACAATGTGTATGCGGAAGTACACAATGTTAATCATACAAACAAACATCCACACTTGTAGGGTTTATGCATGCACATTTGCACAAGGGTGGCATGGCAGTGTTGCATTTAACACAGCTGTCTCACAGCTCTTTGGTCTGGGGTTCGAGTCTAGACTGGAGGGCTGTCTGTGTGGAGCTTGCATGTTTGGTGTCTCTGTATTGCCCCTCTCAAGCCAGAACTGTCCCCCCCCCCCCCTTCCCACCCCCTGTGTCCTTCAGGGACTGGGGTGGCACAGAGATGATGTGTGTGTCCATCCTGCAACAGACTGACACCCTGCTCAGTTGTACACCTGCCTTGTGTTGCCCTTGTGTGTTGCCATAACCCTTACCAGCAATGTGCAGCTTCCTGTTTGTTTGCACAAACCTAGCAGGCACTGTTGATCGCTGATCCTGAACCTACTGCCTGTGCCAACCTCTCTCCCCTCAGACTGCTTCCAGCGAAGGGGATTTTGAGGTGGTGATAGCGACCCCAGATGCCCGGGTTGTGCTGAACCAGGTGCGGATGGAGGAGGGGGGAGTGTACCGCTGCCTCCTGCTGTCCACCAACGGCACTATCCTCACTCGCATCCTGTTCCTGCTGCGTGGTGAGTCCCAGGGCCAGGGAGGCAGAGCAGCTGCAGTGATAAGACTGGAAACATGATCTGTCACAGTCCTGACAGCTTGATGTCTTTCACACTTTCAGTCAAGTACAAACTCGGTCCACATCCAAACTGGAACAGACTCAAACTCACAGATGCGGTTTGGCTTGGCGTGGTGCAAGATGCTTAGCCAGACACAGTTGCTCATGCAGGAGGCTGAACCTTTATATGCTGGCACTGTACGGGTGGGGAGGTGCTCTTTTTCATTTGGGTGGGTTCTTTTTGGGGGGTAGCTCTTCAACACATTTACACTTGTGACTTTCCTCCAATTCTCCCTCACTATCCAGCTCTGATTCCCTGTTCACTTTCTCTCCCTGTTCTCTCTCTCTTATCATTCTCCTCTCTTCCTCTCTCTCACCCCCTCTCTCTCACCTCCTGTCTGTCCATCTCTCTCTACCTGTTCATTCTCTGACTTCTCCTCCTCTCCCTCACTTCCTGTCTGTCCATGTCTCTCTCTCTGACCTCTCCTCCTCTCCCTCACCTCCTGTCTGTCCATCTCTCTCTCCCTGTTCCCTCTCTCTGACCTCTCCTCCTCTCTCTCCTGTGTTTCCCTGCTCCCTCTCTCTGTCCTCTCTCCCTGCTCTGTCAGTACTGCTGCTTGTAGTTAGTTGCAGCTGTACAGTTCACACAGAAGTTAAAATGGAATATTAGAAGAGCTGATACCAATACTGAACACAACAACAGACGTCTTAACAAGAGTAATAACA